AATGTAAATAGGAAAACTAAATACTACTTAAAATTACTGAAACTACTATAACAAAGAACTAATAAGACGACAGTTTATACATAATAGAAATATGATTTTCGATCTATCTGGGCAATATAGTGCTAACCCATTTTGCATTTAGTTTATTTATACATCTTGAGTGAACACCAAAAAAAGAAAAATGAAATTGAAAGTCTAGTATATAAATTATGTTTATCAGAAATTTCTATTGAGGGAGGGTCGAAAACAGGCTTTTGTAGGGGAGAAAGGAAAATAGGTTTGGGGGATGAGGCCTGTTCTCTGATGGCAGAGGGTGTAGAGGGGTGGAGATCTACCGAGGATGTTGATTATCATGGAACTGCCGCAGGAGGAGGCCATAGGTTGTTCTCTGGAGTTGGACAGCTCGTCGAAGGATGGGTTTGAATAGTGGGCCTGATGAGTGCAATCATCTTTGCACAATGGAAAAGGGGGAGGATGTTCAGAATGCGGTGGCAAGGGAGAGGGTATGAAGCGGAGAGGTGCAGAGTGAGGGGGGGTTTTGTGAGGTGTTGGAGAGGCTGATGAAGAAACTAGCCCCTTGGTGCTGGCAATGTGCCCGAATATGGTGAATTAGGCTTCCTTGGGGTCGGGTAATGAGGAAAAGGAGCAGGAGTGGGTTGTTGCTATGTTGAGAGATGAGGAAGGGAGTTTTAAGAATGGAGGAGATAATGAGTAATGGATACTTTAAAACATTGAAACAATCAGCAAATTGAGGGGGTTTTTTGTGAGGTGTTGGAGATGGTGATGAAGAAACTAGCCCCTTGGCGCTGGCAATGTGCCCGAATATGGTGGATTAGGCTTCCTTGGGGTCGGGTAATGAGGAAAAGGAGCAGGAGTGGGTTGTTGCTATGTTGGGAGATGAGGAAGGGAGTTTTAAGAATGGAGGAGATAATGAGTAATGGATACTTTAAAACATTGAAACAATCAGCAAATTGGTGGGAGTGAGTTTCCAATGTTTTGAAGATCAGGTTTTGACTTGTTTCAGGTGATTATGGGGACTAAGAGAGGACAAATATGAAAAACTAAAAGTCAGCTGTGAAAAGGAAGAATGGAGTGGTTAAGGATAGATGGAAAAATTAGAATGCTTTATCAACTACAACAAGTCGAATATGGGGGAAGGGAAAGAAATGAGTTTCTTTTATTATTTTACCATGTTAAACAGTATCCTCTCTTGGAATTTGAGGGGCTTAAATAGTGCTCGTTAGAGAATGATTGTTAGGTGCTGTATGTCTAAATGGAAGCCGGATGTAATTTGCTTCCAAGAAACCAAGCTCAGTTTGTGTCTGATCAATTGGTGAATAGTTAATTGTAGACTAGGGAGGTAGGGTGGACAAGCTTACTGACAATTTGGTTGGTGGGGGGCCTTATAGTGTTTTAGAATGAGAATCTGGACAGTGCTCGGGGGGGTGTTCATTCTCATGTCTCTTCTGTCATAAGGCTAATGGATGGGTATAGATATTAATCCGGGTATATGGTTCTAGAGAGGGATGTTAGAGCGAGAAGTTATCAAGTGATTTAGAGGATTACAGGGGTAGATGAGATTTTCCTTGGGAAATTGGTGGTGATTTCAATACGTTCTGGTTTGATGTTGAGAGGGAAAGTTACTCTAGAAGCTGTGTTGATGACTTCAATAAGGTGTTGGACAGGCTTTAATCTCATGAATTTACCCCTTATTGGAAATAATTAACTTGATTTAATTCTAAAGCAAATTCCTCTTTTTCACGGATTCGTCAATTCATTATTTCCATTTTCTTTCAATCTCAATGACCTGGTTTATTTTAGAAGACTTTGCAACGTCTAATCTCAGACTGCTTTCCTATTTGCTTGGAGGCGAATCATATCATCTGGGGCCTTAACCTTTTTAGGTTCGGGAACAATTGGCTCAAAGTGCACAGTTTTGCAAGGTACAGGGCTTACAGGAAGATATTTATGTTGAAAAGCAAGCTCAAGAGGTGGAACAAGGAGGTGGTGGGTGTTGAAATTCTAAAGAGGGAGGAGCTATTTGATGAGTTGGAGAGACTTGATGAGGAGGAGGTAGGGGGTCTCTTAGGGAGGAGGTCGGTAAGAGATAGATATCTATTTGGAGATTATTGATCTCCTTGTGAGTGAGGATGTTGCGTGGAAACGAAGATCCGAAACCAAATTGATTCAAGAAGGTGATAAGAATACAAAAATTTCCATTGTTGCTAACCATCATCAGATGTGTAATTACATTGAGGAGCTGGAGGTTGTTGGAAACATAATAAGGGGTAATGAAGCTCTGAGGGAAAGTCTAGTAATTTACTTCAAAGATTTGTACTCTGACAAAGATCAATTGAGACTGTCCTTGGAGGAACTGAGATTTGCATGGTCAGTGAATAAGATTTCCTATTCCTTGAATAACCTTTTTCAGAAGAGGAATCCTTGATGGTCCATGAGTTGTAAAGGTGATAAAGCTCCAGAGTCAAACGGTTTCAACATGAAGCTTTTCCAACAGAGTTGGTATATCATCAAGGAAGACGTTATTGCCTTTTTCGAGGAGTTCCATGATTCTGGATCTTTTGTAAAGAGTCTGAACACTACTTTTTTGATCCTTATCACATAGGTCCAAGATACAAATAACATTAGTTTATTTAGACCTATCAGCATTGTGGGCAGAGTGTACAAGCTCATTACTAATGTTCTTGCCAGGAGGCTAACTAAGGTGGTTGGGAGCGTTGGTGGTGCATTTCAACATGCTTTGTCCAAGGAAGACAAATTCTTGATGCTGTCTTAGTTGCTAATGAGGTAGTTGGCGATGATGTTATCAGGAAATATGAGAGGAAAGTGTTATCTAAATTGGATTTAGAAAAAGCCCATGGTCATGTCTCTTGGAGCGTCATACTTTGCATGCTTGATGGGCTGGGTTCAGGACCAAGAGGAGGTTGTGGATAAAAGCGTGCATCACCTCTTCTTCTTTCGTTGTTTTGGTTAATGATGCTCCTTCTAGTTTCTGTAAGGCCCCGAGAGGGTTGAGACAGAGAGATCCTCTATTCTGTTGCTATTCATATTGGTTATAGAAGCTTTGAACAAATTGTTGCTTAAGGCGAGGGAGCTTCATTTGTTTAGTGGGGTGCAGGTGGAATCCAGGAGCTGAAGTGGAAGTTATTTATTTCTTGCAGATGATACCCTCCTATTTTGGAAGCCAATTCCACAGGATCTACTAAATATAAAATGTGTTACTTTGTTTCCAAGCTATGTCAGGTCTGAAAATCAATTTGGCAAAAATTGGGATTAAAACAGTTGGGAAGCTATGGAAATGATGAGCGTTAGGCATCAATTTTGGGCTGTAAAAGTACAACCTTCTAATCAAGTGAAATTTCAAGGACACCCGATCCTAAGATCCGGTGGTTAATGGATTTGAATTCCGTCTTACAGCTTGGAAGAGAGGTTTATTATCTAAAGGCAACAGACTCACTCTCATTAAAAGTTCGTGGCCAGTGCCCCTATCTATTTTATCTTCTGACCACTATACCTATTAGTTTGGCTAAGGGATTGGAGAGGATTAAATAGAGATTTTTATGGGGAGACACTGAAGACAAGAGTGTGTATTATCTTGTAGCTTAGAATGCGGTGAAGCGGTCACTATAGAGGGGTGGGTTGGGCGTGAGATCCTTGGTTGAGTTCAAGCTTTTCAAGGAAAGTGACTTTGGAGATTCATGAGGAAGGAAGACAGTTTTTAGAGGAAGGTGATAGGGGCTAAATTCGGTACTTCCAATCTTGGTGGTTTGCCAGGTCTACTTGAATGTCTGATAATGTAGGTATGTGGAAGAGCGTTATGATGGGTAAGGGGACACTCCAAAAGTGCACCAAATGGAAAATAAGTTTTGGGGAGAGAATGAGCTTCTGGTTGGATGATTGGATGGAAGGTGGGAGCTCAATATGCAATACACTGGCTTTTTTTCTACTGTGCAGAATAAGATCATTGTTGACAAGGCACATGTAGATTTGCTACCAATGGTACTTATGACATAGAATTAATCAGGAATTTGAATGACTGGGAGCTAGAGAGTTTCTTGCATCTCTGTTATGTTTTATCTTGGCTGACGGTTTCTGGAGATATGGAGGATGAACCAGTCTGGTGTTTATCGTCCAAGTTCTCTTTGTCAATCAGGTCTTACTATCAGTTCCTATCCAAGAATGATGCCAAACCCGTCAATTTCCCTTCAAACTTGGTCTGGAAAGTGAATGCCATTCCCAAGAGGATCCTGGTGAATGGATGTTTTTCTGTGCAAGAAAGATCAGAAACTTATGACCATATTCTCCTGTGGTGCCTTTGGTCTACGGTTTATGGTTTATTGGGTGTGAATTAAGTCGTGGCTGGTAATATCAGGGAGGAATTTTGTGCAGGGAAAAGATTTCAGAGTAACAAGAAGACCATCAGATTTATCCCTGTTACTATCGTTTGGGTCATTTGGAAGGAAAGAATAGAAGGACTCTTGGGCGGGGTTGAGAGTAATTTTGAGATCTTAGGGACCTTAATGATATTTTATTAGACCTGCAAAGATTTATGTATAAGGGTTTACACCACTTTGCTGCTCTGCGAATATGTAGTATCTTTTCTTATTTTTAAAAAAAGCAAAAGCTTTTACCACTAAAGATGATAGGAGAAGAAGACAACAGTGAACCTTTTGGCATTTGTTGCCTGATTTACCTTCCTTTTAGTTTAGGTCTCATCCACATTGAAGTAAGTATGATGAATTTATAATCTGCTCTGTTGGTGCTGGGTGGTTTCTATTCCCTATCATTTTTCTCGTGGTTTCTCCTTGCAAACTGTTTGTCATGAAGAGCGGGCCATAATCATGTCCAAGTAATTGAATGGGATTTTCTTTCATGAAGCATTCAAATATAAATCCAGTTGTACATAATTCTTCTTGTAGTGCTCCATGACTGCTAATTTGATGTACAAATTTTTTATTTTATTTTCTTTTCTTTTCTTCCAGTATGTTGCTTATGCAGATGGTCTGATTCGAGCATACAACATTCACACGTATGCAGTTCACTACACATTGCAACGTGAGCTGAGAAATTTTGATTCTTACCTTGAATATTTGGTGTATTAGTTATGTTTCAGGCAACATATTTCTTTCCTGTTGTTTCTGCTTCAGTTGATAATACTATAAAGCTTATTGGAGCTAGCGCATTTGCTTTTCACCCAACATTGGAATGGATTTTTGTTGGTGATAGACGGGGTACACTTTTAGCGTGGGATGTGTCAACTGAGAGGCCTAATATGATTGGAATGTAAGTTCTCTTTCGATTTGCTCCTTGGCTGTAGCATGCCAATTCTTTGAACTCTCCTTTTGCTTCTCAAATTAGAGAATTTAATCACGCTGTAAGTTGTAGCCTGCTACTGTTGCTGTTTGGTATGGAAGTGGACTTCGGATTAATCTGATATTGATGTAGCTAACACTAATCTCATGGATAACTACAGACATCGGGGGTTGTCTTTGGCTAATCCAATTATCTAAGATTTGGTTGGCAGTGTTATGACTGTAGACTGCATACTGGCGTTTATTATGCTTTTCGTTTTCAATATCATTTTTTTAGATAAAAAGTGTGAAGTATATATTAATAGGGTACCAAGGGGGTACCACTCATGTACAAAAAATTTACAATCGTGTTAAAGTATCAATGATATTCTCAAAATTTTCATCCCTAATGATATCATGCCTTAACAAGATAAAAACAAAGTAATGAAATCATTTATCTCTCAACCTTTAAGTCAAATTCTCTTTATTCTCAAAAGTTCTATAGTTCCTTTCTTTCCATATGACCCAAAAATAGTTAATGAAATTAATTTGATGGATTCCTTTTTCTTACATAGACCACCCCAGGCCCAAATTTCTTCCCTAACAGTGTCCGCCATCATGCAATTAATCCCTAAAAGTTCATAAATCATGCACCACAGATCCTAAGTCACAGGACACCACCAAAGAAGATGGTTGCAAGATTCCCCCGCATTCATGCATAGGTAGCATCTGTTGACTAAAATATGGCCTATGGATATCAGCTTGTCAATGGTCAGTACGAATTCTCTGCTAGCCTCCCCAATGAAAAAAGCAATTCTAGGGGGTTCTTTCAATATCGTATCTTGTTAGTTGTTAGCATTTCTATATTGATATGAGTGTATTGCACATGGTATGGGTCGCAAGTTCTTCGTGTTGTATTCTTAAATGTTGGAGCTGTCATGATTTTATTTGGATAAGAAAGGAGTAATACTAGTATCTCAAAAAAAAAAAAAAAGAAAAGAGAGGGCTAATACTAGAAAGAGAGAAAGCTACTAGAGAATGGGAGAATGTGGTATTCTGCTACAGAAGCAGTAAAATACAAAGAGACAAAAGTCTTCAATACAAGAGACTCATATTATGCCAGTTGTCTCTGCTGCCTGGTCCATTCCTTTAGTGAAGTTGAAAACCAAGTAGCAGTTTTCTAACAGAGTTTGTGACTGTAGCATGCTTTCATACATGATATCTATCTTTAATCCCATTAATATTTATAATGACTTAGTGCTGATATGAGGATTCTTTTGTCTTAATTTTGTTATGTTCTGGTGGCTAGTTTGTTGCTTTCTTAGGAGAATAAAAGCATATGTATTTCTCAAAGGCACCAATGAATGCTGTCCCTGTAGAAAGGCAAGCATTTAAAATTTTATCTAAATGAAGGTAAAATATTCTATAATATCCACTAGATCATAAAAGTTTGAAATATGGTTACTTAAACTACCTCTAACTCTGTGGGAAGACACAAAATCCTCAGAACATAAAGCAAAGGGAATGGGATGAATAATTGCTGGTTTTTGTCTGCCTGAATGCCATCACTAAGTAACAAATTTCTGCCACTTCGAACCTCGTCCAGCAACCCAGTGAGCTTCAAGAGGTAAACACAGAATCCTAAAGCTGGCAAGACCAGGGGTCTTCAAGGAGCCATGCATGGAACATCTATTGGCTGGCAACTTATTTTATTTCTTGAGGTTGAACATGATCAAAATCCTTCCTCAAGTATGTGGGCTCCTCATTCCTTTCATAAAGGAAGCTTCTCTTAACTGGCATCTTGGCTTTTTTCCTGAGATCGCACATGATCAAAATCCTTTCCCAAATAGCTTCCCAGGCAAAGAGTTCATCTTCCCTATTTGTTGTCATGGAAATTATCCAAATACAGAGAGTTACTGTCCTTCTCAACGGAGCTAGTGGACCATATGCCCCTCATCAGGGTCCGTCTCGACGTGAAAGATAGAGACAGCATTGAGACGGAGACCCTTTCCTTGCAACCACCTCATTATCCCTTTTACTCACCTCATAACCACACATCTGAAGCCCATCCTCAAGCTGCGGGATATTCTCCACACTATCATCCAACATCTATCTACATCATAATATAAGTAAAAAGTACAAAGAGTAATTTATGATATTTTAGTAATAGATAAGATTAATATGAAAAGTAAACATAAGAATATATATAAAATATTTACATAAATATAAATGTAAAACCCTGTTAATAATATCAAAACTCAAGCATACTGTTTACCATGTTAAAAAAAAAAAGGAGGCAGGGTGGGTATGGAGCAGGTAGGTTATGCACTAAATTGTCCATTTAATTACCCTATGGCATGGGTTGGGCCTCTTGAGCATGAAAGAGTCTAAAACACAATCTCTCAATTGTTAAAGTTTTAGGACAACTTGTAAGAAAAGTGAAAAGCGTTAGGAACTGGAATATGGTGTATTGTTTACTGGATATTAATTGGGTGATTGGGTGTTTAGTAAAAAATAAACTTTGGGCTTGGGATGAGATCGGCAAAAAGTCGAAAATTGTAAAAATCATTCCTTTTAACTATTTATTGGGTGGTGTGGGAAGAGAGGAACAACAAAACATTTGATGGATGTGTGGGGGATATAGGTAGAATCAGAGATAGGTGGTTACATAATTTTGGGGCTCTAATTCTGGGTCATGATGTATATGGGTGCGATAATTTTGGAAAAGTTTTTGATGTTTTAACTAACATGTAAATGCTCTGTATAGGGGTGGCACCCTCTTGGTGCCATATATATTTAATACACTTGCTTTTATCTCAAGAAAAAGCGTCAGGAATTGCGCCTCGTGCCATATATACTTAACAACTGGTAAGTGAGACCCTGAGGATTTATTGCCATCTCATATATCTTCTGTGATGCATAATGGACATGGACTAGATTTTCGGAACTGATTAGGAATTGTATGGCTTGCTAATCTATAGTTTGCTGCAATGCCATGGATAAGGTTGGACTTAAGCAATATTAGGATTTTTTTTATAGTTTAAATTCTTATGTTCCCGATTAGTTTTCTGTTATTTCATCCCAGTTGTTACTTGTGATATCTGAGAATTCCTAAATTTATCCCAAATTCCGAAGTTGGCAAATTACTCCTAACTTGTCCTACATTGTTCTCAAAACAGAGTGCAACGCTGTACCAACTTCGAAATAGAGATGGGCTCCAAAATTCTCCCGTCATCTCCCAATTGATTTCCAGATATCTGTTCCATAAGTTGTTCTAACATGATTGCACATCGAGCCATGCTCAAGAAGTCCATATCGAGCTACAATTAGTCAACAACCAGGGGTGGATCTATAAAATTTTTATGGGGCAAGTTTATTGGACATGACTTTTTACATATAATATTAATTTTTCTAAGGTCATTTGTTGATTCTCACATTTAGAATTAGTCGTACGAAACCAATGAAATCATAGGAGGAGCACCATTATCTTTTTTTTTTTCATAAATTAGTCTTGTTTGATGTATCTAACAACAGATGCTTTCGGTGTTCCTTCTATCTAGTGGAGGAAAATTTAGCAGGTTAACGTGAAAAGAAGTGTTTATATAGATAATTTATATTTGTTCTTTAATTTCGTTGAGTCAACTGCTCTGATGAGCTATAGTAGCTCTGTTATTGTCAATAAGCCTTCATCATAGATTATCAACTTTGGTCATGAATGCGAAAGCCACTTCGCAAGGATTATCTTGTTGAAGCTCCAGTAGCTCTGAGATTTAAACCTCCTCCTTGATCTGGCTGTCTAATGTTTTCCTCCCCAATGAAATGACTTCTTCTCTATTTCTTGGAACCACCACACAAGACCTAGCTAGAATTGACTCAAGTTTCTTGCCTTCTCTGCTAGATTGGGGGCATGTAATAGGTGAACAAATTTGAGGGGTGTTCTTGATGATGGTGAATCTACTACTCTCAAAAAATAGTTCCTTTTCCACCCAATAAGGTTATCCTTGAACTTGGTAACAATGGGATCCTGAATTCCTACATCCGTATATCTTGCCCCATGAGAAAGACTTGGGTTTAAGAGGGAAACAGCCCACTTTACAACCCAATATCTTGGACAGGGACTTCTTCCCAAAGTCTGACCCTAAGTCCACCAATCAGAC